GGTGAACGGCCGGTCTCTACTTAAAAAATACAAAAACGCTAGCCGGGCGGCCGTTGGCGCGCCTGTCAGTTCCGCTGCACTCAGTGAGGCTGGTGTGACGTGCTAGTCAAACAGCCCATTAGAACCCTGTATCCAGGTGTCAAGCGCACCTTTAAGAACTTCCCAATCCAACCCCTACTGGCAGTTGCCTTTAGAAACTGGCCTGGTGTGATGCTTTTCTGACCCATGGCAGCATCTAGAAATGCAGAGAGAGTCAAAATGAGAGTGAGGACTCGCGCTGTTGCATCATTAATGTGTTTGTTTTTGGCATCAGATAGTGACCGCAGGGAATGAGCCAAGGCTTATAGAAGAGATACAGAGAGTTGTAGAAAGGTCAGTTAATATGATGACCAGGAGGAATAAGCAAAAAAAAAAGCAAAATTAGATAGAGGGCCATGGAAGGGGCCTGAAGCTGAACCCCATTAGCTCATGGTACAGCTGCCTCTGGCCATGGGGACCATGGCCAAATCCCCTGAGGAAGTGTGAGCCCGCTGATGGGGACAGTTGAGGTGTGTATCGAGACATCTTATTTGATACAGAGAGCTCATTTAATCTCCCTCACCTTTACAAAAATTAGACTTTTTATTTGAGACTATAGTAGTTGTAGCTCCATGTGCATTTGTCAGAAATAATACCGAGAGATCCTATATACCTTTTGCCCAGTTTCCCCCCGTGGTGCCATCTTACAAAACCACAGTACATTATCACAACCAGAATGTTGACTCGCTGACATCTTGAGGTATGTGTTACTATCCTCATTTTTATTCATGATGGAACTGGGGTTCAGGGAGGTGCACAGGCTTGCTCCAGGTCACCCAGGTCGTGCGTGTAGAGCTGGGAGTTGAATATCCGCCCTGACTTCCAGGCAGTGGGGTTTCCATCCTGACCGTCAGTGGGCTGCGGCCAGCATTCATTCGATTGTCCATTTGCTTGTTTGTTCACTCATTCCTTCAACAAACATGTATTGAGGATCTCCTATGAGCCAGATTCTTTCATGTGGGTCATCTAATTTAATTTTTCCCCAGCTCTGGGGAATCAGGTAATAACGTTTTCTTTTTATATCCGACAAAATTGGCTCAGAGAGGTTATGGCAACTCTTCCGTTTATAAAGGAGTGGTGGTATATTTGTGTAATCTCTCCTTTTATGTTAGGCACAATGCTAGGCCCTTTACATTCGCAACCTCCTCAATCTAAATATAGTTTTATAAGGTAAGTTCTTTTTCTTTTAATTCTTTTTTTTTTTTTTTTGAGATGGAGTCTGGCTCTGTTGCCCAGGCTGGAGCGCAGTGGCGGGATCTCGGCTCACTGCAAGCTCTGCCTCCCGGGTTCATGTCATTCTCTTGCCTCAGCCTCCCAAGTAGCTGGGACTACAGGCACCCGCCACCACACCCAGCTAATTTTTTTGTATTTTTAGTAGAGATGGGGTTTCACCATGTTAGCCAGGATGGTCTCGATCTCCTGACCTCGTGATCCGCCCATCTCGGCCTCCCAAAGTGCTAGGATTACAGGCTTGAGCCACCGCACCTGGCCAATTTTTGTATTTTTAATACAGGTGGGGTTTCACCATATTAGCCAGGCTGATCTTGAATTCCTGATCTCAAGTGATCCGCCAGCCTCGGCCTCCCAAAGTATTAGGATTACAGGCGTGAGCCACCGTGCCTGGCCAAGACAAGTTCTATTATCACCACTATTTTGTAGCTGAGGAGTTACAGGGAGCCCAGAATTCAAATCCAGATCTGACTGCATGGTGGATTTTTCTTAATATCCTATTGAGGGGATGGGGGAGCAATTACACACGTGTTTATTCATTCACTCAACAGATATTTTTGAGCACTGACTATTACTACTGCTGGTTAGGTGGTGGGAATAGAAAGACAAGAAACAGCCCCATTTCTGCAGAAGCTCCAAGCTGAGGCCGAGGGACTGAAGGTCAACAGTTACAGCATTATGATCAGAGCTGTGACAGCCACGTGTAGAGGCCTAAGACCTGTTGATGCTGTGGCTTTCCTTGGGGCTTCCCCTGCCTCTGGCTAGTGAAGGTCAGAGTCACTGCCTCCCAGAGTGGGCTGTCAGCTCTCAGGACTCTGTGTCTCACAGCCTCATTTCTTCTCTCTGAACAGGGACTTCAAAATGAGCGTCCCTGACTACATGCAGTGTGCTGAGGACCACCAGACACTGCTCGTGGTGGTCCAGCCTGTGGGCATCGTCTCCGAGGAGAACTTCTTCAGGATCTATAAGAGGATTTGCTCTGTGAGTCAGATCAGCGTGCGGGACTCCCAGCGAGTCCTCTACATCCGCTACAGGCACCACTATCCACCCGAGAACAACGAGTGGGGAGACTTCCAGACCCACCGCAAAGTCGTGGGCCTCATCACCATCACCGACTGCTTCTCAGCCAAGGACTGGCCGCAGACCTTCGAGAAGTTCCACGTGCAGAAGGAGATCTACGGCTCCACGCTGTATGACTCCCGGCTGTTTGTCTTTGGGCTGCAGGGGGAGATCGTGGAGCAGCCGCGCACCGACGTGGCCTTCTACCCCAACTACGAGGACTGCCAGACAGTGGAGAAGAGAATCGAGGACTTCATCGAGTCACTGTTCATTGTGCTGGAGTCCAAGCGTCTGGACAGAGCCACAGACAAGTCTGGGGATAAGATCCCCCTTCTCTGTGTCCCGTTTGAGAAAAAGGATTTTGTAGGACTGGACACAGACAGCAGGTAAGTTTACCTAGAGATCCAGGCCCCTTGGCTTCCCTACATCAGAAAGGGAAAGCACATGGCAGAATTTTATTGCAGCAAGGAGTAGAAAGGTGTTGTCCATTGGTTTTTAAAACTAATGACTTCCTGTCAGAATCTGTTTGAGTGCTGCTAAAAAACCAACCAAACAAAAACCAGTGACTTTTAAAGACAGAGACAGCCTTTGGTTTGGGGGAGTCTTTTAGAGTTGTCATGTACACTCCCCTTTTTTTTTAGTGGGGCTCCCCTTGTGGGACTCCTGGAGCTCCGTCCGATACAGCCAGTTGTGGCTTTTGAGCACTAGACACGAGGCTAGTTTGAGTTGAGATGGGCTGTGAAGAAAACCCATGCCAGATTTTGAGACTTATTTCTGCAAAAATAAACTTTCTTGCTAATTTTTTTTTTTTTTTTTTGAGATAGCCTGTCTCTCAGGCTGGAGTGCAGTGGCGCGACCTCGGCTCAGTGCAACCTCCATCTCCCGGGTTCAAGTGATTCTCATGCCTCAGCCTCCCAAGTAGCTGGGACTACGGGCATGTGCCACCATGCCTGGCTAAGTTTTGTATATTTAATAAAGATAGGATCTTGCCACATTGGCCAGGCTGGTCTTGAACTCCTGGCCGCAAGTGATCCGCCTGCCTTGGCCTCCCAAAGTGCTGGGATTACAGGTGTGAACCTCCGTGCCTGGCCAACTTTCTTGCTAATATGTTTTATATAGATTACATGTTGAAATGATAGTATTTTACCTATCTTAGGTTAAATAAACTGTATTTTAAAAATCAGTATCAACTGTTTCATTTTTACTTTTAAAAATGTGGCAACTAGAAACTGAAATTTACTTACGTGGCTTGCGTTTTATTTCTGTTGGACAGCACTGTGCTAGAGCACAGTTTGAACACTTACTCGGTCTCGTCCCTTTGGTTCATAGATGAGAGAGTGAATCTGGAGAGGTAAGGGCTAGGTCCTAGCTGAGCTAGAAGTAGAGCCCATGTCTCCTGATTGCCAGGCTGTGCACCCTGCGTATGTGGCTACTTTTTCTCTCCTGATGGCCATAGTGTCAAATTCCTCACAGAGCAGCCAAGCACAGGTATCGGATGCCAGGAATGCCACCTGGGAGCTCCTAAACAGCTACCTTATACAAATGGAAGTATGTCTATTCTCTCTGTGTACGAGGAGTGTTGGATAGAGCAGGAAAAGGTTGGCTTCCCATCTTGCCTGTTATTAAGTCTAAAACTTTATTTCAAATCAGAATTTCAGATGAGCTCTTCCTTGCCACTTCCTTCCACTCTCTGCTCGCTGCTCTGTCTTGCCATGGTGGCTGTGCTGCAGAGCTGGATGAGATGCAAGCCTAGGCAGCAACTGTTTGCCAAGAGGGCGTCCCCATTTGCCAGGGAAAGTGATGTGTCACTGTGTCAGTCACTGGCCTCCTGGCTTGGACAGGGCTCTCCCTCCTCCTGTGTAGGATTGGCTGATGAGCCACAGGTGAGGATTCAGTGATGTCATGTGCATGCCACCACAGTGCCTGCTGCAAAGTAGGTGCTCAGCATGTTTCTAAAATTTATGTAAGGTCAAACGGTGTCTTTCTGGTTGTTGGTAAGTATGAGGAGAAATGATCACAGAATTGAGACACAGCAGTCTAAGTCCAGCCCTCAGAGTTGGAAGCATAGAATAGCCTCAGTCATACCTGACTGTGGTGCTTTGCAGGGTCTGGAAGGAAGGAATTTTCATTTCTTCACCCAAATGTGCATATTTGGCTTCAGGAAAGGGAAAGGCATGCCATAGACCTGCTCTGTATTTAATCCTCACGGCAGCCCTGTGATCTACGCCAGGTTGCTGTGCTGGCTGATGTGGGGCTGAGGCAGCAAGGTTTAGAGACCTGGGCAGCCACCGAGTAGCAGAGCTGATATAAGCACCAGATCTGTCTCTGAGGCCCAGGACCTTTCTACCTCACCTCGTTGCCTTCTGCTGCGCCTCCTGTGCCTCTTGAAGAGCGCACACTGCTGTCCAGCCAGCAGGCACCTGCAGGAGTCATCCCTGATAAGGTGTTGCTCTATGCTACTGCACAGCTTGGCGGCCACCTGCGAGGTCGGCAGGGAGTGGCCTGCCCCTGCTTTACAGAGAAGGGGTGAGGGGTTGAAACTCACAGGCAGCATGGGTCAGGAACCCTGCTTTGACCCCTTGACTCATGCCTGCCTCCTTTGCCACATGAGCACCAGTGACATTTTTCAGTCACCCACTTCTTGGCTGTGAGGTTGCAGATCCACCTTTGAATGCCAGGTCTTTTTTGCCTTTTGAAATCTGTGCTCACAACCCCGCAGGAGGAACGGGAGTGTGCTGCTACGCAGTGCGTCATACATAGTGGATGATGACTGACAAGTGTTCGTTCAGAGCCTTCATATGCCAGGCATGGCTCCAGGCACTGAAAATACAGCGGCAAATACAGCTGCTTGCTCACTGTAGTGGGACAACCGCAATTAGACGTCAGTTACCATTTGAAGTTCAGTGAGATCATGACACCAGTGAACTCAAATAAAATACATCCTCCTCTCATAATGGGTAACCTGTTGTTGCTTTTGTTTCTCCATGGTTCTCCAATTTTTTTTTTTTTGGAGATGTCGTCTTGCTCTGTCACTCAGGCTGGAGTGCAGTGGTGCCGTCTCGGCTCACTGCAACCTCTCCCTCCTGGGCTCAAACGATTCTTCATGCCTCAGCCTCCTGAGTAGCTGGGATTACAGGTGTGTGCCACCACACTTGGCTAATTTTTGTATTTTTAGTAGAGACAGGGTTTCACCATGTTGGCCAGGCTGGTCTTGAACTCCTGACCTCAAGTGATCCGCCTGCCTCAGCCTCCCAAAATGCTGGGATTACAGGCGTGAGCCACAGTGCCTGGCCGATTCTCTAATTTTTGAAGGAATGATTTGGTGCAGGAGCAGAGCCTTGCTCTCCCCTGCAACTCTTGGTAGGAGTGAGAAAGTATCAACCCGGAATGGGATAGTATTTGGTAGCTCAACAGGAAATGTCCAGATGTAAGTCCAGTTATGGTTTGACACACTGACCATCCTGATAGGCCCCCTGACAGATCATTCCCCCTTCAGGTCCTGGACTTCCTGGGACGTGAGGTGCAGGTGTAGTTTACTTACAAGCTCACATGTGCCCCTCACAAAAACCCATGGCCCGTTCTTGTCCGTGTAGTGTTGTAGCTATCAAAATTATTTCTGTTCTTATATGTTTCTAATTTTTGCTTGTTCCTCTTTCTTTTCTTTTTCTTTTTTTCTGTCATACTGCCCTGTGAGTGTGTTATTGGGTGTGAAAAGGTAGGCCGGGAACACGTTGCATTAAAAATAGCTAGATTTCCCTCTGCGCTGCCTTCTCATAGCCTTCACTGCTTTAAAAACAAACACTGCTGCCTAAATCTTATGTTAACTGGAGAGTCTTTTCATTTTTTTAAAATATGTTTTTTAATTTTAGCTTTGTTTTTTTAAGCACATAACCCATTGGCGTTTGGTGTTTGCTAAAATACTTGCTCTGGGGGATCTTGTTCAGTCTGTAGCATTTAGTGACACATGAGCCTTTATTCTTTTGTGTGTTTGTTTTGAGGACATGAATTGCTCATTGATTTAGGCGGCTGTAGGGGGTTTTCCTGGGATAGCTTAACTGCTTGATCCTGGGCTTCTGAGCCAACGTTTTCTGGCATGTGATTCCCGGCTGTGGCTGTGGGCCGTGCATGAAGGCAAGGAGCGCTGGCGCTGGAGTGTGCTAGTGGCCAGGGGAGCTGCGGGAGGGCGCGGCTGCCCGTCTTTTCTTTTGCTTCTGCCTTGAGCATGCCATTTCCCATTTCCTTCGCCTCAGCGACTTTCCACCATAAAGGAGACATAGGCCATTCTAAAACCCACCAGGCTGGGCGCGGTGGCTCACACCTGTAATCCCAGCACTTTGGAAGGCCGAGGCGGGTGGATCACCTGAGGTCAGGAGTTCGAGACCAGCCTGGCCAACATGGTGAAACCCTGTCTCTACCAAAAATAAAAAAATTAGCCGCGTGTGGTGGCATGTGTCTGTAGTCCCAGCTTACTTGAGAGGCTGAGGCAGGAGAATTACTTGAATCCGGGAGGCAGAAGTTGCAGTGAGCCAAGCTCATGTCATTGCACTCTAGCCTGGGCGACAAGAGCGAAACTCCATCTCAAAATAAAAAACAAAAAACCCACCCCCGTCTTTTGTGCCCCGTATGAGGGCTCAAGGGCAATTTGTTTAAGTATCAGGGAAATATGGCCTTCTAGTTCACTTGGATCTTGTAGACACAAGGCCCTGTATAAGTGACCACTGTTTCCTTTTTGCTTCTGCCAATGAGCATTCAGAACCAGAGAGGCAGTTCACCCGTAGCTATTGTACAGGCTCTTACCTGCCCAAGATTTTCCATTTAACCTCATGTAGGTAAGACACAGCTGTGTCTGCCTTTTTTTTTTTTTTTTTTTTTTGAGACAGAGTCTTACTCTCTCACCCAGGCTGGAGTGCAGTGGCACGACCTTGGCTCACTGCAAACTCTGCCTTCTGGGTTGAAGTGATTCTCCTGCTTCAACCTCTCAAGTAGCTGGGATTACAGGCACGTGCCACCACTCCAGGGTAATTTTTGTATTTTTAGTAGAGACAGGTTTCACCATGTTGGCCAGGGTGGTCTCGAACTCCTGACCTCAAGTGATCTGTCTGCCTTGGCCTCTCAGAGTGCTGGGATTACAGGCATGAGCCACAGCGCCACGCCTGTGTCTGTATTCGTTGACGCTAATGTTCCTCACTGGTGGCACATCATTTGTGTGCATTACTGATCTAGAGCCTCCAACACCAAGGGCAGCACTGCGGGACACTCTTTGGCTGGCCTAGTCCCCTGTGGTTTCATCCCTCTCAGGGAAAGGCTCTCATTCTGTGACCTGCTGCCACCACCTCACTGCCCAGGGGCCTTGTTTCTTCCTTAGTGCTCTAGTCCAAGTACCAAC